TCAGCCATCTTCAAGAGATGAGACACTTTCTAAAGAAGACTTTCATTCATATTTTGCTAGTACTTGCAGGTAAAAATAAAAATAATGTCTGATTGCAACAGAATTGCATTTCCTCTGCTGGCTGCATCCATCGCCCTTGGATCAGTGAGGGGAGGTCAGCTCTAGGGTCCAGAATGCCTGGGTTCACTCTCAATTTTGTCACCAACTGGCTGGTCCCTCCAGGTTTCAGTTAGTTCCCTGCGATAGGATTTGGAGTTGCTGATGCCGCATAGAGGGCCCTCTTTGACTAATCCCCATGTCCTTTTCTTTCACGGGCATACAACGCTTCCAGCCCCCAGCCTTGCACTGCCGGCCACTGGCTGGGCTCTCCTTTCAGGAACACCCGTGGTGCTCTCTCTGTTCCCAGCTTCCACCTAGCTGCAGTGCAGAACAACGTCCTGGCAGAGGAGACACAGGACGGAAGGAACCTGGTTCCTGAAGGACTGCAGACAGGAGCAGAGACCCCTGACCTGCACTGAAATATGATACGGGTGAGAAATAAAGTTTTGGTTGAAGGCTCAAACCAGACTTTATACTCAAAGCCATTGAGATCTGGGGGCACAGTCTGCCTGACTAGCAAACGTAAGGATGTTTCTTAAAGTCCCTTCTTTTTCTAAAATTTTCAAATCTACTGACTACCTCTTTTTTCAAGGGTCAAACTCCCGCTCTTTAATGTTCTTTACCCGAAATAAATTAGAGTTATAATAACATTTTGTAAAAATAATTCTTATGATTTCAGGATTTTAGAACCAGGTTAAGGTTTATAAGAAGGTTCTTCAAAAATTTCATGGAAAAATAGAATTAAAAGATAGTACAAATTTTTCTATGAACTTTTGGAAGTCCCTTCATACACTCAAGTTTTCCATCTAATAAGAAATGAATTCTGTGAAAAAAAAAGGAAAGGAAAAAAGAACACTGAAGAGTTAGTTATGCTTTAGCATTATGTAAACATATGTATACATGCTCGATCTTCCTATTCATTGACTGAAGATACTTAGTTATAGAAGTGAAAATTAAAAAAACAAAAAAAAGTTAAGTGACAAATACTTTGGTTTGATTAGTGCCCTATGGGCTTTCTTTGAAGATGAAGGTCATGTTGGATTAAGCCGGCAAGCCTCAATGCTCTGAGGAGGTGTCCAGCAAACTCCTCTGTCGGCCCTCAAAGGGGAGCCGTCCTGGGCAGCACGGCCCCAGCTGTGTGCACAGGGCCAGGCCGAGTGGGCAGTGAGCAGCAGAGGCACCGAAAGACCGCAGGACTGGCTCACGGAGTTCATACCTTAAAAATCTGTGCAGTTCGCAGGACTGGCTCACGGAGTTCATACCTTAAAAATCTGTGCAGATACTGGCGGCTGCAGGGTGACCAGGAGAAGACCCCGTTGCGTCCCGCCAACGTGGGGGACATGATGCTACCCTCGGACTTCTTGCACATGTTTCCTTCCCCATCGTGGACCATGCCAAAGCTGTGAGACACAGAGAGAGAGAAGGTTCTTTGATCTAACACACTCCTACAAATACTAGTGGAGACCGTGAAGCCTCCTTTCCCTCTGAACACCAGGCGGGTAAGAAACAAAGCCACAAACGCCAAACTGCTGAGGATGTTGATGTGCTCCTGGACCTTTCTGGAAGAACATACCATTCACTGAACTGTGTGAAAGAGCCCACTAATATCGAATCAGAGTGAATGGTGAGATGCCTGTGGAGGGAAGATGTTTTAGTT